GGGATTATTATAGTAGTTAAAATCAACCATGAAGCATAGGAGGAGGTGGTAAAGAGCAAATAGTTTTCTTTTCCTTTTTCTTTTTGCATTTGCCATTCTCTCTCCCTTCTTCACCACACAGAGGACCACTTAGGAACAAAAACAATCATCTTTAGACAGAAGTTATTCCTAAAAAAGTTCTGACATGTTAAATTTGTAATGCTCATTAGAAATTCTAACGGCAATGTTGAGCCAACAGTTGAATACATGATTCTGGAGTTTGCAGCAGAAGTTCAGACTAGAGATCAATTTAAAATTGACAGTGTAGGGTCACCTGCTTGGCTCAGTCAGTTAAGTGTCTGACTTTGGCTCAGGTCATGATCTCAAAGTTTCTGAGTTTGAGCCCTGCATCAGGCACCGTGGAGCCTGCTTGGGATTCTCTCTCTCTCCATCTCTCTCCACCCCTCCCTCTCTTTCTCTCTCAACATAAATAAACTTAAAAAAAAAAAAAAGACAGTGTATAGATGGAATTTAAAGCCATGATATCAGATGAAATCATGTAGGGAGTGAACGATGAAGAATATGATAAGAATAAGGACAAATGATTAATGCATTCAGTGTAGAACACTGTTATAAGCACTTTACATATATATTCAGTCTTTACAACCACTGTAGTAGGTAGCTACTTTCATGATCCTTAATTTATAAATGAGGAAACTGAATCTTGGAGAAATTATTTTGTTTTGATCAAACGGTCAGCAAGTGGTAGAGCTGGGATTGAAAGCCAGGCAGAGAGGAAGTAAACACTGAATGTTAGAATCTTGGGACACTCCAATTTTAAGCATTCAGGGAGATAAAGAACCAGCAAAGGAGATGAGGAGGAGGTTCCAGTGGGTAGGAAGAGAAGCTCTTTTCAAGAGCCCAGAGGATAAAATGGAGAAAATGCTCAGTGGCATCCAATGCTGCTGGCAAGTCAAAGTAAGATGAGAACCAAACATTAACATTTGCATTTAACAAAGTGGCTCTAATTAATGACTTTGACAAAGGTTATTTTGAAGCAGTGGTGGAGTTAAAGCTCAGAGTCAGTCCAAGAGAGGATAAAAGAGGCATTTAAGTTCAACTCTGGAGTTCAGCACAGATAACATCCCATTCCCAGTCATAGATATTCACATATAGATATGAATTAAAGCAGCAGCAAAGATTTGTTGTACAGACAAAATAGAGATTTGATTGGGAGCTTAGTGAGGAAAAGATATGGGAAATTTTTATAGCTATTTTCAAGGAGAACAAACTTGATTTCCTTTCTCTTGGCATTAAGTCTTGATCTTTCCTTCATTTAAAAAATTTCCAAGGGGTTGGCTCAGTTGGTTAAGTGTCTCACTCTTGATTTCCACTCAGGTCAAGATCTCGTGGTTCGTGGGTTTGAGCCTCATATGGGGCTCTGTGCTGATGGTGCAGAGCCTGTTTGGGATTTCTCTATCCCTCTCTCTCTCTCAAAATAAATAAATTAAAAAAATTTTTTTCAAAGCTCCGAATTTGTCTACCTCCTCTCTTCAAAATAAAATTTTTCCAGGACCATGTTTTATGTGTCTACTCATCCCCAGCCTGGCACAGAACCATCCAAGTAAGGTACAAATGAAAGTGTGATAAATGACTCACATCCTAAATACTGAATATCTTACCCTGAAGTTATGGTTGATACTTGTTGTTCCCATAATAAGCCCATACTTTTCTTTGCGTACTTCACCTATTTGAATTGATAAACGTTTTTTACTCATCTTTTTAAAGTCATGTACAAGACCTTGGTTTTTCTATTATTGAAGGTATTTTCATAATAGTTTATTCTCTATTCCTTTCTTTGTCACCCATCATTACATAGTATAAGACTTTACCTTTGAGTCCACAGAACACCTTATTTTCATTTGCCATACTTTCCTAATGTATTTTATCTATATGGGATTGTCTTGTCCCTTTCCCAAGCTGCCTGTTAATTCCTCCCGGATGAGAACTGTCATGTTTTAATTCCTTACAGTACAGCAAGTATCAGTATATATTTTTTGAATTAATGTGTGAATAGTAAAGCTATTTGAGTTGAATGATACTGACCTGTATTAAATAATACTGACGCTAACCTTAGACAGTGGGACCTCTCATTCCGCATGGCAACAACTGCATAATGCTTTTAGCTTAGAGACATAATTTTTTTAGCTAGATGAAAGGTGAAGAAACACATCAAAATAATAACTAAACACAATGAAATTCAAAAACTTCAGGGCTTGTTGGTTTGCTTTCTTTAACTTTTTAAATATTTATTTTTGAGAGAGAACAGAGAGAGAGTGAGCATGCAAATGCACGGGGTGGCAGGGAGGGGCAGAGAGAGAGAGAGGGAGATACAGAATCCAAAGCAGGCTCCAGGCTCCAAGCTGTCAGCACAGAACCTGATGTGGGGCTCCAATCCACAGACCATGAGATCATGACCTGAGCTGAAGTCAGATGCTTAACCAACTGAGCCACCCAGGCACCCCTGTTAGTTTGCTTTTTTTTGGCTATTTTATACTTTTTAAATATATGTAGTTAATGATGAACTCACCTACTAATTGCTTATTTTACAACATACATGAATCAGTGAGTATTCTTTTAGTTTACATTATTTCTGATCTCTGGTTCATACAATTATAGAGATTAGGCTGCTAACCCAGTTATGGAAACAGCTTTCACTAGTGCCTATAGGTAAGAAAACCAGAGGGATATTGATTATATCCTTTAGTTAAGGATTTCCCATATAATGGTGAATGGTAGAATCTTGAAAACTGAGATTTCAGATCTGTTGCAAATGTCTGAAATGAAATATTAACATATTTCCTCAAGACTGTAATGAAATAAAATAGTATAACATTATATTATATAAACATATAATAGAGGCTGTTGGCAGATGCCAAAATAAGGAAGGCAGAAGGGTATTTGCTGCCGTTACTTTCCACTGTACACTTGACTTTACAGTTTGCCTTTTACTACTTCACCCAAAATACTTAGTTACAAATTTGCCAGAGTGATTCAGTGGGTGAACTTCCCTATGACAAGAATGAATGACTCTTTTTGAGGTTTTAAACCACAGATTACCCATTTCATTTTTTTTTAAGGATGAATACTATATTTTCTAACCCCCTAAGCCATCCATGTTACATTCCATATACAGAGGCTACCAGAATTTTAAATCTAAAACCAAACAAACAAAACCCGGAAACAAGAAACATATTACAGATGAGAAAATTTAGGCCCAGGAATCTTGTCATGTATCCCAGAAGTAGTTATCATCAAATCACAGAACTAGTTATCATCAAAACTACAACTCAAATAGAATCACCTTACCTCCACTTTCTATACCTTTTCTTCTTCTTCTTCTTCTTCTTCTTCTTCTTCTTCTTCTTCTTCTT